GGGGGGGGGGGGGGGGGGGAAACTCACACTCGGCCCTCCAAATCGCAAAATTCCAAAATGAGCGGCCAGATCTAGTGAATGTTCTTCCTTTACAAGGGCCTACCTAGTGTGAGTATGATCTTATTGTACTACTTCTACAAGTTTTACTTTCTGTATTTCGACAATTGTTGGTAGCAATAAGTGTTCAGCTTTGGTTATCTACCGTAGTAGTGAGTGATCGTTCAGTGGTAGACTGGTAGTCTTGTGAGGGGAGGAACAGACAAAAACAAGTCGAGTATCAAGTTTGTCTCTAATTTATTATCAGTTATTCCTTTTATTTTTGTTTTACTATTTTCTTAAATGCTTTCAGAGACTTCATAAAAGACCAGTCGGCTGTAGCATAAGTCTTTGAGCCATTGCTATCGAGTGATACTGGACTACACTGTTACAATCACGGCTTGCTGGAGATGGAGGTTGCTATCGTGTGGAGGTTTATGGCCATCATGGAGTATAGAAAAAGGGTTACATGGCTATCGTCTTGAGTATATCTTAAACTATGTGTGGAAGTGGGTGCGTAAGCGGGAAGAAGGATCTACCATATGGGCGATCCTGGACTATGGAGACTACAGTCTTCCCCCGAATACAACGCACGGTCATTATAGCCGAATTTGGTCTATCTTTCAGTCTAAATTCAGCTATAATGAGTATTAATGACCGTACGTTGTATTCGGTGGAAGACTGTAGGATCAGGAAGTGTGTTTGAAGTCAATGTGGATTCTGGAAGACGAGGATCAGGAAGTGTGTTTGAAGATCAACGTGGAAGGAAAGAAAGAGGAGGAGACAATGAGGAGAAACGAGGGTCTTCAGGCTGCAAGTTCAGTCTGAGATGAGAAGCCAAGAACAGGGCGGAGAGGGAGGCTTAGGCCAGACAGGGTTACCCTTCAAGCTCAACTGCAGGTTACAATGACTTATCATGAGCTAGGAGACGTCGAAGGGGACCACGGCGCATGAGCAAAGAGCTTTGGACATGGATTCCGAGGCAGAGAGCGAAGCTAGTGACGTGTGTAGACACGACACACAATCTTGGCATGTCTTGGACAAGCGGCTTGAGCCTTGAGGGACATCGACCAACTTGAAGTGGGTCTATAGAATAGACAGTGGATACGACTCGGACTCAGCACAAGACGACTGAGACAAGGTGGACTATCTTAGTGTGGCAAAGGGAGAGAGCTAGGAAACGTGCATGGACCTTTTCTTTTTTTTTTAATTCAAAATTACGTTATCTTCAGTCTTGAGAGAGAGAGAGAGAGAGAGAGAGAGAGAGAGAGAGAGAGAGAGAGAGAGAGAGGGAGTCCATGTGATTTATGTTTGGCCACCAGTGAGTTCCGTCAAGTGCTGAGTTTGGCGAGAAGGAGAAAATCGCGAGTGATCAGCTTTTCTGCATCTTCGGTTAAAACACGTCCAGATTCGGGTGCTTAATGCAATCCGCTTTGCTACCGTCTTCATCCAAATAGATGGTACAGTCATTTTCGCTGCATCTGGACTGCAAGGTGAGCCACATACGGATATAATGACCATACGTTCTCTTCGGGGGCAAGACAGTAGTAGTACCTCAGCCCTGCAGTGAGTGATGATGACTCTTGAGGGCCTGCCCACCGCAAGCCCCCAGGAAGTCTGTCATCGGTATCCCGTCGCATAGCTGCCAGCAGCCGCGAGGGTGGGGTTGAGTAACGGGGGAGGGAAAGGCTTATTAGCAGGCAGCTCTGGAACAACGCATGCATGCTTAGCAATGTCAGGCGTCAAGATATCGGGATCGGGATTGGGATCGGCATCGGGATCGGGATCGGGATCGAGAACGGGGACGGGAACGGGGGGAGAGGAAGAAAATCGGTGTCTTCCTTCGTCTTTGCGGTTCTGAGTGATTTGTCCATTAAAAAAAAAAGGTTTATTGATTGTTAAAGATTAAAAGATTAAAGAAAATAAATACTTGATTTTTGTTGCTTTTCCTAAAGGAACTTGCATAGACAGTATATATTTTTAAATTGGTTATTAAAAATTAAAGAAAATAAATTGATTATTAAATTGATTATTAAATTGATTATTAAATTGATTATTAAATTGATTATTAAATTGAATTAAATGTCCTTCCTGCAGATAAGGCGCAGCGCCCGGGAAAGAAAAAACCTCATGTTTCAAAAAAAAATAAAAAATTGCACCGTGCATCCATCGGTATCCTGTGCGGCCCTGACGGCCCTTGAGTGTCAATTTGATGATGAGATTAAATATAATAAAAATTGGACCTTCCAGATTGGGCCGTTCAATCCAACCTTCGTTGCTAGTGGGACCTTCCCTCTGATATACTTAAACCATAAGCTTGCCAAATGCATAGTCATCTGATTAGTGATGCACATGAATGAATGGATTAACGAGATGCCCCCGTCCCTCCCCCCCCCTCCCCCATTTTTTTTTTTTCTTCGAAAACGAGCATCGACAACTGCACAATTCTCAACCCAAGCTAACTAACCAGGGTTTGTCTTCCTTCACTCTCTCTCTCTCTCTC